GAGAAGACCACTGGAGATTAAGACCACCATAGAAAATGTCTGAGAAATGTATCGTGAATGTATGATGGAGACTGTGAGATATCCCTTAAAAGGGGATTCAGAGACCCTCTGGCCATCCTTTGCTCTCTGCTTTCTGGTTGATGAGGTGAGTTATTTCGTGCTCCCCTGTGCTCCTTTATAACGGACTTCCTGGCCACAGAGTCAAGACAACTAGGCTAGACAAACTTGAAAAACCAGTACATGAAGTTCTAGCTTTTTTTTCACTGTCAGGATTGACATGCTTTTCCAAAATCTTTCTGGGGAAGGGAAAATTTAACTCAGAGCTTTGTACAAGATAGGCAAAAATACACCTGCTGAATCATGAACCCAGCCCCATGGAGTAGAATTATAGAAATGGATTATTGGTTCAAGATTCTTATGCAAAGCATATTTAATAATATTCCTTGAATAAGCCCTACAATTTTCAGGTTCAGTTTTTGCAGATTTTGGATTCTGGTACGAAATGTTGGTGTTATACATAACAGCCCACAGAATCAACTAAATACAGCTTATAGGGGCTCATAGATATCAAAATGACAATCAAGGAGCCTGTATGGGTCTGAGCTAGGTCTTCTGCATGCATGCTATGGTTATGTAGCTTGGGGTCTTGTGGGACTCGTAACAGTGGGTGTGGGTTTGTCTCTGACTCTTTTGCCTGCTCTTGAGACCCTTTTCTTCCTATTGGGTTTCCTCATCTAGCCTTGATATGAGGGTTTACATATTATGCCATGTTTGGCTGAGGGAGATGGGAGATGTGGGGGACAACTTGGAGGAGTGGAAGGAGGGGAAACTGTGGTGAGGATATAATGTATGAGAGAAGAATAAATTAAAAAAAAATCCATGACCTACACTATTAGACTTTACAAAAGGAAGTCAGCTAGAATTAAGAACTTCTGCTTGGTATTTATTTATTATTTATTTATTTATTATTTTTTGAGTACAAGGAATTGATGTGATGCTATCCTACTTTGAAAAATAAGCATAGGGAACAGATGTGTGTATTAGTGGCTAAATATATTAACCAGATGGGATATGGGAATGACATCTTGTGATTTCTGTCTTTTCTGGTGTGTCCAATTTTGAGATTGGGACATGATATTGCTATATTCAAAATTCATGCTGGAGAATTATAAAATTAATTTTTTCTTGCATAAAACTTCAAAAAGAAAAATCTCATTAAAAAATTCTGTCTAGCTGGGTGGTGGTGGTGCATGCCTTTAATTCCAGCACTCAGGAGGCAGAGACAGGCAGATTTTTGTGAGTTTCAAGGCCAGCCTGGTCAACAGAGCGAGATCCAGGACAGGCACCAAAACTATACAGAGAAACTCTGTCTCAAAAAACAAAAGCAAACAAGCAAACAAAAATTCTGTCTCTGTGTTGGTCAGCATTAACTGCTATTCTGGGCTCAGTGGCCCTTGGAAAGTGGGAGAAAGATACGAATGGTTTGGCATTGTCATTGGGAATAACCCTCACTTTTTATAAATAAAATGCTAATCAATGAGTTGTAATTGGATGAAATGACCTTAACAATGTAACTTACTTGCTGTAATTAGGACATTCTCCCTCTGATTAAAACTGACAGACATTCCTTTAGACCTAGTTACAGAGAAGTGTGACAACTCCAGATGCTTGGGGTGGCCCACCACTCAAAGATGTATTTTGCTTTGTTTGGGTATTGCTTTTTGATGGAACAATTGCAATTTTTTTTTAAATTAAGCTCAGCCTGTGTTTTCAAAGAAAAACTTTTAAAAAGTAAAACTGCAAAAAAGTTAAGGTATATTTAAAACATCAAGTGGATTTTGTTTAGCCCTGAAAAATTTGCTAGTAGTACAAAATTTTAAAATAATTTTGTTTGATCTTGCCTTTTGAGAATCTTTTTCCAGAAATTTAATCAGATTGCAGCCCCTTGGTACTAATGTGACTTATCTGAAATAAAAAAGATACTTGTGTGTTGCTAGAGTTTTCCTGTCTTGCCCACAGTCAGGACAAATCTTTGTCACCCGCCAGTCCCACAGCCGCTCAGACCCAACCAAGTAAACATAGAGACTTATATTGCTTACAAACTGTATGGCCGTGGCAGGCTTCTTGCTAACTGTTCTCATAGCTTAAATTAATCCATTTCCATAAATCTATACCTTGCCATGTGGCTGGTGGCTTACCAGTGTCTTCACATGCTGCTGGTCATGGCAGCGGCTGCAGTGTCTCTCTCCTCAGCCTTCTGCTTCCCAGAATTCTCCTCTCTCCTTGTCCCACCTACTTCCTGCCTGGCCACTGGCCAACCAGTGTTTTATTTATTGACCAATCAGAGCAATTTGACATATAGACCGTCCCACAGCACTTCCCCTTTCTTTTTTTTTAAA